GAACGCCGGGACTGTCTCCATAATATATGTTCACATTATGTAATAAACCTTTTTACATCACGTAATAAAGCACTGACATAAAGGTAAGATGTATTCACCTCATATTGTGATGACCTCGGCGTAAAATAAGACACATTAACATCACGTAATAATGCTTCGCTATAATAGAAATATACACTCACAAAAGGGAATGGACTTTGACTTAATGTAATGATAAATTTAATCATAGAACACATGTAAAACGAAATTAACTTGACGTAATGCAATTTTGACCTCACATATTAAAGAAATGAAATAATATAAAGAAACATTCATTTCACGTAATAAAGTTTTAACACAATGTAAACATATTTTCACGTCACATAATGAACTTTGGTCTTCAAGTTATAAAGTGCCGACATAATGGAAGAATGTGTTTACTTCATGTAATGCAGCATTGACATGATGTAAAGATATTTTTACATCACCTCATAAAAAATTGACATAACGTAAAGATATGTTCACATCACGTAATGATAGATTGACATAATGAATGCATAGTTTTATGCTATAAGGCAGTGATGGCGTTCCATATATTTACCTATTATTCGTCTAAGACTATTTACGCATGATTTTAAGTATGAGATCAGGGAAGGTATAGTAACATAGAAAGAAAAGATAGAAATGTGAAGTATATATATCAATCAGATGAGATAGAGGACTAATTTCACTTTGTTTTAAAATGTCCTCAATATCAAGAACTAGGTATTAAATACTCCAGTATATAAAGAGTTATGATTAAAACATCTGTGTGTAAACAAAAGAACTGTGTAGCCTAGGTATTAAAAATGATTTATTAAATAAAGAGTGTACAATTAGAAATAACAAAGCAGGTAAGGTGTGGCCACAATCCAGGATATTAGTCTTAGATTGCAAAATCGTAGAAAAATCTCAAGATTCATGACCACTAAACTAGAAAAGAAAGAAAATTAGGTAATGTACCAAATAAAATCTTTTAAAAATGTTCCTCTCAGGAGCAAAGCCATGATTATTCATATCTGTTTGGATTTTTTTCTTCAAATTATGACCCTGTGGGTAGGTTGAGGCTGATGATTAAATTGAAAATTTTCTTAAAATCTTATATGGAAGCATATATGTTATATAGCATAACAGGTAGTGCAGGTTTATGTTTATTTAAATCATGGACCGGGGGTTACGGTGGGGCAGCCATAGGCTAGCAAATTTTAACATATTGATAAACAGCAAAAAATCTTTCAAAAATTGTCTCAAGAACAATAAAGTCATCATTAGACAGTTTTAATTTAAAGCACCCTTTAACTATGGATTCAAGTTTGTTAAAATCATGATTCGGGACTAAGGCTGGAAACAATGAGCGAGCAAAGTTTTACATCGAAATATATATATGAAAAATTTTCTAAAATGGTCTTTTCAAAATTGCAAAGACATATTTTATTAACATTATACATAATTGACTGAGTTCGAGGGCAACATGCGTTTCGTCGAACCTTAGAAGCAAACTGTCTGCCTGAGGCCGTTTGGCTAAAGGCAGACAGTTTGGTTCGAGGGTCGGTCGACAAAACACATTTGCTCGAGAACATCAAGTCAATAAATGTTTTGTTATACCTTTCATTTTAGTTTTTTGACATACGAGGGGTGATCAAAAAGTTCGCAAACTATCTCTATATCTACAAAACCACAATTCAGATTAGAATGAAATTCGGTACACACATAGCCATACACAAGGTCTATAAATAGCATATGCTGAATAAAGTTTCTCTCCTTGTTTGTGACGTCACAATGTGAAAATGACGTCACTATTTAGGTCACTTGTGACGAAAAATGGTTGTCTCAGTCGAACTCGTTCAACAAACGACTGTACAATTTATTGTAATATCTTAGAAATCCCTCTACAGTATCATATAATAATTTGTACACAGTTTATCAAGATAAATGTGTTCCTATAAATTCAATTAATGATTGGATTAATCGTTTTAGTGAAGGAAGGCTGATGGTTAAAAATGATACTTGTCATCTTGCCCAGTGAAAGCAAGTTTGAAAAGATATGTATTTTTAATTAAGCAATTTGCTATAAAGACCTCCAATTAGCACTTTGAAAAATAGTTGAATATTTGAACAATGATATAAGTATTAAATACCTAAGATATCGTTTACTTTAGATTTTAAACATATTAGATATGATAAAAAGGGTGCACCCATTCTCTATCCACCTTGAATAAAGGTCTCTCCTGAGACAGAAGATTTGTGTTTTAATGGTCGCCATGCTTATTTTTGGAAAGGATGTTATTATCCACCCATTCTGTTGCCGAGATATGACCATTTCTGACAAATTAACTGTTCTTGTCATAAAAATTAACTCACATATGGAAAGAAATATAAAACTCGGAAAAATCTTTTAACTTTTGTGACAGAACGCTACGGAGGGGGTCACGTGACCGCCAATATCACGTGATTCACGCATGCGCAGAACGGTGGTTGGTGTGTATTAAAACGGGGAGGATTAATTTAAAATATAATCAACATTAAAACCAAATATTGTTTCTTGTATGGAAGTTATTCAATTAGTTTGCGAACTTTTTGATCACCCCTCGTACATGTAGTCTATACTGTCTTCCGTGATGAAACCTCAGGTCCGTCATTTTTGAACACCAACGAATGAAAATGTAAATAAGTTCCACCCATTCTGTGACGTAAGCGGTCCAATATCTCATCCACGGTCCAACATCTCACTCAGCAGTCCAACATCTTTTTTATGCCCGCTCAACAAAACATTAGAAATGTTAGATTTTTTTCGTATAGCATTGTATAGGAACAAATTTTTAAAGGTATAACAATTATATTTATATGAGACATCCTCATGTGGAGTTGATTCAAGTTTGTTCAATCATAAACTCAGGGGTATGATTGGCTTAAAATACGTGATCAGAGCATTTGATAGGAATATATTTTGGAGGATCTGCTGATAAAAAAAAACAATACACATGTAGCTCCAACATTACTCAGGTGAACATTGTGGCCAATAAGCCTTTTGTTTGAATGAATACATTTTAATGGTAATATACTTAATTCCTTCAAAACAGCAGGCATAAAACTGTGTAGGTCTGCTGTTGTAGGATTGCATCAAATTAATGACCATTTTATTTTTAAAGGTACTTGGACACAGATTTGAAGTTATTATTTTCTCTATATTATTACGACTTATATATTTTAATAGCATTTCACACAAAAATTAATTAAAAATCTTATTTCGTTTAAAAGATATTGAAATTTCAAATTTTTCGGCGGATTTGATTGACATATCCTTGCACGCTCTCAAATTGAATTTTATTCTTAATCCTTAGGAAAAGTGGCAATCTCGTTTTGTATAAATGAAAAATATTAATATTATGATCCAGAAAATTCAGAGTAGACACGTTTGAAAGCAAAACAAACACACAATACATTGTCAGTCCGTGCAGTTGTGGTAAGCAGACTGTGACGATTGAACGCACCCGGTGAATTCTAAATATTTATAAACAATAACATAACTCGAGCCCTGTTTACAAAAACTGTGTGCATAACACGAGCGTGCTCGATTTGCTAAACTCTGTACGCATCTCTTAGTTCGGAATGACGATATTTGTGAAGGTGTTTTGCTTTCTTACATTTCTACTCTAAATAAAAAATTTTTTCTTGATAAAAGTTTTAATATTTCTCATTAAAACACATCAAAATTGCCACTTTTCCTAAGGATTAAGAATAAAGTTAAAATTTGTGAAAATGCAAGGATGTGTCAATCAAACCCGCCAAAAAATTAAAAGTTTTAATAACTTTTAAATGAAATAAGATTTTTAATTAATTTTTGTGTGAAATGCTAATATTAAAATATATATTTCGTGATATTATACAGAAAAAATGAGAAAATATTAACTTCAAATCTGTGTCCAAGTACCTTTAAAAATGGCCCTGGGTCTGAGCTTGAAATGTTTTATCAATAGGGAAGAAGAATTATACATTTTTGCAATTAACTTAAGCAATGCAAGACCGAAGGTAAATAACAGAAAGGCAACGATTTTATTTTTCTTCAGAAAATACCCATCATTCGAAGAGGCAGCCACATGTATAAATGTGTATAAACTAACAAACTAAATCTAGATCTAGTTACGCTGTAAAATTTGTAAAAGATAAAAAATACAATATGCTTATTTTTTTATTGAGCATCTTTTGGTAGTTAAACTTTTAACATACACATCAAACCTTAAATAAGTTGTTGAAAATTAGTAAAGTATGATGCCAAAATACAAGCAAAATGAATTATTAGAGAGAAAAAACAAACATCTGAAACATCTTATTTCATTGTCGGATTTTTTTAAAAAGAGTTCAGGGTGATTAAAGAAAAAGGTACCAAGATCACGTGCAACGTTATACATCCAGACTATGTTGAACATAACCACTTCATTATTATGTTGATGACATGTTCACATTTTAAAACTGATGCAAAGCATCAAATTGGCGGCAAAAATATATTACATTTTAGCATTTTAAGGAATTTTGCTAAAAAGGTCTGAATGCCAAGAAAAGAAAATGACGAACAAACTTCACACACCAGTATCATCGATCTTTGTCTGTGATAATTCAGATGTTCTGTCATTTGCACCTGTAATTAATGTATTCAAAACAAACTTCACTTCTTCATAAACACTTTTACAATTACTTATTTTGGGCACTGCAATTCATATCCGGAAACTCAACAAGTGTTGTTTCTATATCTTTTGAACTTTCATCTTCGGGAACAGTTCATTTAACACATTTTCAATAAAATCACAAATCGACACCTGATGAGAAATGAAAAATAAAATGAAACTTAATAACAACCATTAGGACAAAGTATATATATATTTTTAATTTTTATCCATGACTTAATTTTGTTATCAATAAGGACTAATTTCATCGATGCAATGAAAAAATAACGCCTCATTCCTCCTTCTTCACATACAAAATCGGCTGCTCCTGCGGTCGATAATACATTTTTATCCTTATTATTTCCCTTGATCTGCCACCGGTTTGTTGGACATATTATAGTACGTATACATCGGTGCGTAGTCCAGTTCACCCATCGTGTGCTTAGAGTCCTCCTTTTCTCGGATGCTAGTTTTGCCAAATACATATTCACTGTATCTTGGCGATGCTGAAAAGGATCGCATTAAAATTAGATAATTCAAAATCTTCTGTATCGTATTCATATATAATTTGAAACATCGAGAAATACTTTTAAGAATTACATTTGATTTGTATCATAAAATAGATTTCTGCCCCCCCCCCCCTTGCAAGCAAAATAAGTCATGTCAACATGCTGGAAGAGTACATCAACATGCAAGATATTTATATTTACACTAATCAAAAACGTCAAACTAGTCACTCATCAGGTAAATGTAAGTCAAATCTCGCATCTGATGCAAGTTGCAGAGTGTGTATTCCTTCATGCATCATCCAGGCAAATTTGATTCACATAGTCCTTTCCTATTCATTGTAATGAAACTGCTCAAAAAACTTGAACCTTGTTACTCATCGGGAAAATGTAGGTCAGATCCAGCATCATCATTCATTTTTGCATGTTTGGTCAATATAGTGCTTACAGTTACTTGAGATCTGAATTTCAAATTTAACATGGTCATTCATCGGAAAATGTAGGTCAGATCCAGAATCCGACGCAAGTAAAGTAGCGTGTATCCTTTGATGTAACATTCATGCAAGGTTGGTCAGCGAATGCCTTAAAGGTAATGAAATAAATGAGATCTGCTCTAAAAGTTTTACTCCATCCAAGTTTAATTTGGTCCATATAGGACGTACAGTTACTTGGTCCACATAGGGCTCACCGTTACTTAGAAATAACACTTACTTCAAAAACTTAATCTTTTCCATAAACCTTAACTTGATTATTCTTTAGCTAAAATTGCAGCATCTAAATCCTAGACTTGCACAATAGCATACTAAAAGCATCCTCCATGTATCTCTGATTAATACAAGGCATAGAAGTACTTGCAAAGAAATCCGCTCCAAAAACTTTAACCTGGAACGCCGACAGTATTACATTACAAAAAATGTAGCTCGCCCAACTTCGATAAAATGTGCTAAGTAGTCTTTTACATAACGTAGCCTAGAGGTGCAGGGGTGTTGCTAAAACGCGGAACGGAAAACGGAATATATTATTTTAGATTAAATCACTTGAAATACCTGTTTCAAATTATATTATTATTAACGATATATCTTGTACACATTAAACCCCGCACTATTAAATACATTTTGATCAACACGTGAAATGACTAATATAATAAAAAAATCATTTTGTCATGCTCATGTCTCTTATTTACAAAGGTCGCTAACGCGCAGTCACATAGAATCGAGTTTGAAAAAGGGGATGGGTGGGTAAACGAACTTGAAAAGTATTTGACAAGCAAAAAACACAAAAAGAAGACAATTGTTTGATTCGGGAGGGGGATATGTTCCAACTCCAACATCTTTCAGTATCTGAAATTTTTTTTTACACTAACTTACTACATATATACTGTGGTTTCATGCAATTGTGCTTGAGCGCAATTTTCAAGGATTCAATATAAAAAGGTAACTTTATAATTTTTTCGAAGATGCGTAATTAATATAAGGATATAAAAGCATTGCCTATACAAATGAATAACATATTTCTTAATTCAATGAACATTAAATTTTGTTTTGCTCAACAATAAAATCCTTGAAAATTGGTGCTCAACATGCTTATATATTAATAAACAGCATGAAAAGTATTTGACAAGCAAAAAACACAAAAAGAAGACAATTGTTTACAGTTCCAACTCCCAACATCTTTCAGTATTTTTTTACACTAACTTACTACATTTATATATAGCATCGTTTTTGAAAGTGCGCATGCATGTGTGTTCCAACTGATTGGCAAGAAAAGCTTTTTTTTTACTTACCTGAAAAAGTTGAGGTATAAGATTCCTACAAAAAAACCCACAAAAGTTGATGTCGCCCAAGGTCGAAAATCCTATTTCGTGGGGGGGGGGGGGCGCGGGCAACTTTTTACGCAAAAGACCAAATATTAAGAAACTTTCACTTTCAATTTTTGTCATACAATTCCTTGATAACACTACACTGTGGTAAAAAGTGGGGGAGGGGGGAACCTTCCTTTCAGTGAACATTTCCTATAGTAAAGGTAATGTTGGCCAAAAAAGTGCTTTTTTAGAGTCCTTTTCTGGATAGACAAAGTTGTGGTAGATAAATTCAGATTGCAGAATCTTTGCATTCATTGAAATTAAATTTTGTTTGTTTGCGGCACATATGTGTGCATGAATGACCTTGTAAAAAATGAGTTTGTTTTCCCGCTCATCGGATAAGGTCTTAGAACCCCGCACTTTTAAAAACATTTTGATGTAATTATAGCTATTATTATACATGTCTGCTAAAACGTTATTACAGAGTTTGAAACAATTGCCTATCTGGGTATTTGACAAGCAAAAAACACAAAATGGAAAACGGAACGGAACGGAAAACAGTATTTTTTTTAAATCTAACTTGTCAAACATTTACTGTGGTAACATAGATTTCAATATAATTTTCAGGTATAAAGAGCAATATTCTTGTTGTAAAAGTCATTTATAATAAAAATTTATTGGTAACATTTATATTCATGGATCTGCTCATACACACGAAATCCGTAAAAAATTATGCTCAACTGAAATTACCCCCCCCCCCCCCACACACACACACACACACACAATCACTGAAAAGGATTGACAAGTTTGGGCAAAGGACATATCCCCACTTTTTTTGCTTGTCAAATTTGTTATATGTTGGAATTTTTTCTGACCCCAAATCTTTCACTTTCAATTTGTTTCCAATGTCAATGTCTGATAAGACTACACTGTGGTAAACTAAGTTATACTAATCAGATTATGAACATTTCCTATAGTAAAGTATATTAATGTTGGGAGTGCTTTTTTAGAGTCCTTTTCTGGATAGACAAAGTTGTGTAGGGGCCCAAAGCCACATTAAAAATTGATTTTGAAATTAAACCTTATGTTTGTTTGGACACAAAATGTGTGGGGGGGGCTTGTAAAAAATGAGTTTGTTTTCCCGCTCATCGGAAAGGTCTTAGAAGTCGACTCGTAATAGGTCTGCCCCCCCCCCCCCCTCCCACCCCTTTTGTGTCCAAATGTACATAAGGTTTAATAAATCAATTTTTAATGTGGCTGTGGGCCCCTACACAGATCCGGTCCTGCAACCCCCCTTTCATGACTCCCGAATTCTACACTTCGTGCATAATCTGATTAGTATAATTAGTTATTCTTGTCTTTCCAGACATTGACATTGGAAACAAATTGAAAGAGGAGATGGGGGTCAGAAAAAATTCCAACATATAACAAATTTGACAAGCAAAAAAAGGGGGATATGTCCTTTGCCCAAACACGAAAATCCTATTTCGTGATTGTGTGTGTGTGTGTGGGGGGGGGGGGGGGGTCTTTCAGTAGCATAATTTCCACGGAGGGTGTGTATGACTCATGAATATATAATAGTTACCAATAAATTTTTATTATAAATGACTTTTACAACAAGAATATTGCTCTTTTATCTGATTTATATTGAATCTATGTTATTTGTTTGACAAAGATTTTCCGTTTTCCGTTCCGTTCCGCTTTCCGTTCCGTTTTCCGTTCCGCGTTTTAGCAACACCCAGATAGGCAATTGTTTCTGTAATAACGTTTTAACAGACATGTATAATAATAGCTATAATTATATCATGTTTTTAAAATAAGAGAAAAAAATTAAATAATGTATTGTATAATATTTTTTCCCAAGAAATTGGGAAAATTTGGTATTTCCTGATTTTACTCACGCAAACTCATAGGCGTAGCTCCAGATCCAGACTGAGGCAATGTAGTAAGTTCCGTGGCCGTGACTCCATAATTTGTTTGGTACTGCTTAACAGAAGAATGAAGGGGAATTGTTCCAATGATGACAGGTAATGACACGCGGTAACCTGGAGTAGGTCCAGAGGGCATAATACACAACTATGTACAATAAAAAACCAGAAGTATTTGATTAAAGCCCTGTGATTGGTAGTTATACAAGTAAAACAGGACCAAAAAAAAAAAGAATTCCTTTTTAGATGGCGTCATGTAACCCAGTCTATTATTGTCCCCCGCTTGAAAAGTGGGGGATATTAATTTGGGTTGTCCGTCCGTCTTTCTGTCTGTCTGTAACGCTTTCGTTTCCACACGATATCTCGAGAACCCTTTGAGCTTTCGCAATGAAATTTTGCATAGCAACTCCCTATGGACTAAAAAGGAACCCTATTGATTTTGGGGTCAAAGGGTCAAAGGTCAAGGTCATAAATTATCAAATTCTGTCTGTTATAACACTTTCGTTTCCACACAATATCTCGAGAACCCTTTGAGATTTTGCAATGACATTTTACATAACAACTTCCTGTGGTCTAAGGAAGAGCTCTAGTTAAGGTCTTCCGTCTTAACGGAAGACCTTATAGTTATTGTACTGTTTCTTATTATTAAGGTCTTCCGTCTTAACGGAAGACCTTATAGCAATTCTATTGTTTCTTATTATTATTAGGGTCTTCCGTCTCCAACGGAAGACCCTTCTATTATTGTATTGTTTCTTTTTCACTTTTATTATCAAGGTCTTCTGTCTTCACGGAAGACCTTATAGTGATTCTATTGTTTCTTATTATTATTAAGGTCTTCCGTCTTCACGGAAGACCTTATAGTACTGTTTCTTATTATTAAGGTCTTTCGTCTCCAACGGAAGACCTTATTGTTTTCGTTCGGTTTCTTTTTAGGGTCTTCCGCTTCCTTCGGAAGACCCTACTGTTATTCTATTGTTTCTTATTATTCTTTTTTTTTCCCGCTCGATTTTTGACAGGCGATTTCTCAAAGACCTTTGGACTGATCGTTATGAAACTTTCAGGATAGATAGCTTGTAGTTAAACCTATTTAAACCTGTTTTCAGTTTTTTGATGCATGCCTTTATTTGTGAGTTATTGCCCTTTAATTGAAATTTTTTGATGTCTCGTTTCCACTGAAAATCTCAAAAATGACATAAGATATTTACACGAAAGTTGGAGAACTTGTAGCCAATACATTGTAGATGTGCACAACGATAAAATTATATAGCTGATTTCTTAAAGTTTTGAAGCTATAAAACGGCAAATTTTAGTAATTTTTTTTCTTTGAATTTTTGCTACTTTTTGTGTAATAACTTTTAAACCGAGAATAATTTGGTAAGAAATATATTACAAAAGTTGTGGGTAATTACGAGAGCTTTCATATTTGATTAACGAAAAGGGGCTGGCCCCTATAATTAGGGGTTAATAGCGAGCGCAGCGAGCGTCGCGAAGCGACGCTCGCGAAGCGAGCTCAATAGGCTAACGTGTAAGAACAGAGGAAATTCGGATTGAAATCTGTACATACGTCAGCCAAATTTCTCTGTGCAACATTCCCAGAATTCCTGCACTACCCAATGTCCTTTGCGCGAATATTGCCGAATAAATAAATAAATAATAACGTAATGCAGGCTTTCAGTTTGTAGAAATCTTTCAAAGAAACAAGAAATAACTCTGCAATGTTTTTCGACAAAAATTGCACTAGTTCTATAGTTTCAAACAGACGCTCGGCTGTCTCCGTAAGCTCCGACGAGCTTTGTGACGTCGTATGACGTCACAGCTAGTCGAGATGTCTCGTGCGGCTTGACGTTCGAAGTGGCTGATCTCAAGTGTTTTTGATGGTAGAACTGCGCTCGCCCCAACGGTCACACCGTAAAACATATCAGCTCATACACGCTTTTTTCTGATAGCTAAAAATATTGGTATATTATGAAAAAGTTTGACTGAAATAATTTCGAACTTATAAAATCTTGTCATTTGATATAAAAAGAAATAAACTTCCAGCTATATTTAATTGTTTTTTTTATAAAACAAGTACGTATGTGAGAAACCTTTCAGGAACAAGTTGTCTACTATAGCCAGCCAAGCCTTTACTGCATACATGTGCACATTTTTAGTTGATGCATCTAAAAGATATAGTTTTGATTCGGTGTTTCTTTGTTTTCTTTTTATTCAAATAATTTTAAAATGTGATGATGTACACAACAATAATATTAGTACCAAGTTTAGAGGATTTTTTCGCGCTTGTTTGTAAACAACGCGCGGCATTGTGGGAAATAGGAAGGTACTAAAGACGCGATGTACTAAACACTGATTTGACCTGATTCAAATTTGTCTGTAAATGTTCCAAACAATTGAATTTTTGTATAGCATATGCCTCGAAGTAATAAAGTCTGTACATAAGTAATTTAAAATACTCAATATTACCATTTAATTAAAAATTAAAACGTCAGGTAAATATCAGGTCTCTAGTATATCCCGTTTTTAGTGTGCCCCTTCGAGTCGACGTCGGACACATGTTTGCCGTTTACAAACTGAAAGTAGAATGATTTGTGAAGTTGAACATTTTCTCACAAAGAATCCGTTT